CCCAGGCCTTGCTCCTGTCTCTTAATGAACAGGAAGAGGGACAGCTCAGGATACCAATGTGCCACACTCCTTTGATCCTTCACCCAAGACAGGCTTCAAAGCATTCAAAACTGACCCAGTCTGCAGCTTTCCAAAAGTAAGATTTTTAATTCTTTTTCAATATCCAAAAAGTCCAAAAAAAGTTCACCTGCAGACTGCTTCAACAAGGAAGATAATACGTCCATCAACAGATGAACAGATAAAGCAAATGTGGTATTTATACACAATGGTGTCCCACTCTGCCGTACAGAAGGATAAATCTGAGTTATTTGTAGGAAAATGGATACACCTAGAGACCATCATGGTAAGTGAAATAAATCAGACATGCACGCTTAGATTTCACATGGTTTGTCTTATATGAGAAATAAATAAAGAGCAAAATAAAGGATAAATAAAGAGCAAAATAAAACATAGATAATAGAAACAGAGGAATCTTTTGCAAAAAAGAAGGGGGCCAACAGATAGAAGAAGGAGAGAAGGAGAGGAGAAGAGGGCACAAAAAAGAATCAAGACATGTTATATCCATGTCCCAACTCCCCATACAGAATATAATCCTTATGCACTGCAAACATGTACTACTGGAAAAAAAAAAAAAAAGACTTTCAGATATTCTGACCTCTCGTATCATCTCCCTGTGGCAGACACGGCAGCCTTTGGAAATCCAGTCACGATTGTGTGACCCCTTCCAGGAGTAGGTACAATGTCACGCTTTCTCCACAGACTTACAGCTGAAGCTCTGCACAGATTCTGCCCAAGAATGTGACAAGCAGCCCACTGCTCTCTCCTTTCTCAACACAAACTGCGTCTCCTAGAGACAGCCGCTGGTCTCACTGCAAGTTACCCAACAACCGTAGGCAGGGGTCCGATTCATGCATATCACTGGGTCCCCACAAAAAAATGGAAAAACCATCATGAATTGTATAATGAGCACTGGGGAAGTCTCGGGGCTATAAAAGGGAATTTGAGTAAAGCGTCTACAAGAAAGCACTGAATATATAATTAGGAAGGAAGGGAAGGAAGGAGGGAAGGAGTTAAGAAAGAAGTGGGAGAAGGGGAGAGCAGGGAAATAGGAAGAAATGAGGGAGGGAAAAAAGGAATGAAGAGAGGAGAACAGAGAGAGGGAAGAAATTAGAAAAAGGGGTGCAAAGAAAGAGAGGAAAAGAAAGCGTAGGAAGAAGAGAAGAAAGGTCACGTTCCCCAGCGCTTTCCCACAGTGTTGTGAACAGAGGAGGTGAACTAACTGCGCAGGTATCTTCAGTACCGTTCTTCCCACTCTGGCCTCCCTTTCTAAGCATTTTCTTAAGGGAAAGGAAAACTCGCTCCACTGACACCTCGTCCTTCACAGCACTCTGGGCACCTGGCAGTGTCTGGGCCCCGCCCTGCCCGGCCCGGCAAGATACGAGAAACAGATCCACACCCTGTCGGGCTGGTTTCCTTGGATGAGACTCCACAGTCTGGGAGATAATACCCTCGGGAGGTAATTCACGCTTGTGGAAGCTATTGGTTTTTCTTCGTAAACAAAGTAACTGAGCGTTCGTCCCACTCTCTTTTTGTCTGTTTGTCAAAGGCCTTAAGAAGTACAGCTACACGCAAACAGTGGAGAAGTATAAATCAACAGCCACTGTGCCCCCTGCCAGGAAAGAGCACAGTGTGACGAAAGGGGAAGTGTAACAGGTAAACCTCCTCCTAGCATTGCTGATGCCACCAGGAGGAACGGATTCCTCGAAATGCCTACACTCTCAGCATCCTTCCTCTTGCTGACACTGGCTTCCGAAATGCCAGTCCCCAGACCTAGAGAGAAAACAGGGCAGAGCAAGGGTTCCCATAGGGAACATTAAGTCTGTGGAGGTCACGTTTCAGGCATGCGAGGATGATTAGACTTTGCTTTCAGTGTCGGTTTCTATTTTTCCTAAATAATGTGACCACAGAAACCCACGTTTGCAGCATTAACTGCAGAGAACAATGGCTATTTTTACCATTGTTGTAAAGGCTCCACTGCAGCTGAGTGACAGGTCTGTAGTAGAAGATTAACTTTCCACCTTGTAAATTGTGTGCGCACACACTCACAAACTGCACATTCACCATCCACTACACATTCATAATCACTTGCCATTTTTTAAAGAATACCATTTCTTCCCCGATCTCAGTACATCAAAGGTCCCTTTCAAGTACAAACGTATCTATTTGATTCTGATCCCCTTGACTCATAACATTAGTCAGTCTTTACATACTTGTCACGTAATTTTACCCGGAAAGACTGTCTCTAACAACACCAAAGGCACTCAAACAAAAACATTACATCAGGCTTCATACTCTACCTGGCCATACTGAGATCTGCGATGGGTGGACAGTGGGACCACCGGGACCTGATAAAAGTACTCCTGGGGTGACCCTGCCAGATCCCTTCTCATTAAAATCAAATATAAAGGTCTCAGCCTCTCACTCTGACCGTGCGGTCCTCCCCTGGACGTGCCTGTTGTTCTCTTCTCATGGTGTATCAAAAAACTCTTATCTCCTAACTTTTCTGTATTCTGCAACTATCACTAACCATGCACATGCTGAGCCTCACAGGGCATTAAGGATAAGTCACTGGGGCTACCAAAATCTTGTCAGTGTTGACCTTGGACAAGAGACAATACATTGCCATTGACAAGCATTCAAACAGCATCCTAGGAACAGGAGATTGAGCAACACATCCATCCTTGCTTTTCTTCACATTCTCCTGGACGTGCTCATTTACCACCTTCTACTTCCACTTTATGTAAAATAGGAGCTGTGTGCTTAGCTGGGGGACAGAGTAGGAATTGCAAATAAGTGTTATAAAGATGTGACCTCTGGCCACAGAAAACAGAAAATATTTACCAAAGGATGTTGCTTGCCTCTGAAGAAAAGTTGTGCAAACATTTTAGAAGCATTATTCCTGATCATTTTTCTAACTACAAAATGTGCATATATTTCATATACTTTATAAAGAATTTAAATAAAGAAACAAATTCCTCTTTAATGTCAGCTCAATATTTTGGTGTGTGTTCTCCTATTCTATTTTCTATTTATATATCTTTTTCATTTTCATAAAATTGGAAACTTATGCCTTTAACTTTTCTTCAATGTGTGTCAACACGTTACTAAACATTTTTCAATAATATTTGAGGGGTGGGCATCTTTGCAAATCTAGTAGATAAAAAGAGGTATGTTGAGTTAATATCTTAGAATACTACTAAGATCAAACAAGAGATATTTGAGATTTTTAAATTCTCTAACCTCAACTGGAACAGACCAACAGAAAATTAGAGGCAAAGAGCACAGCCGTGACGCCTTAAAAGCAAGCACGTGAGCACATAGCATGAAGCTAGTAGCTGGTTTTAATCCTTACAGGGTGAAGCTCGGTGAACTACGTATGATTTTTAAATGGCGACATACAAAAAGTTCATTGGTTTACTGGAATGTCATACAGCAATGACATCATATGTCACTGCAGGGTAGGTAATCCTGACAGACAATGGGAAGAGGAGTCACTAAAAAGGCTGACATGAACCAAGTAATCACCTTCAAGGAGGTACAACATAGATCTATCGGAAATTCCCAGGGTTGTGACATATGAATTTTCCTGAAAACAAGGATATCAAGATGTTTCTACCCTAAGGAGATGTTCACAAGAACACAACAGCAACTTTTGAGCAAGGTAGTTATTTACTGAGAAATTCTGCATGATCTCACAAGTGGAATCTACATAAAGGGTTGAATTCATGGACTCAGAGTGTTAGGACGGCAATTACCAGAGGCCAGGGTGGGGTAAGGGGCTGGGAGGTGTGGAGTGGATGCAAATTTTCAGTTAAACAGGAAGGATAATGTCAAGAGATTTACTGTTCAACACAGTGACTACAGTTAATAACAACAGATTCTTGGAAATACAAGTGGATTTTGTGTGCACAAAAAGGTACAGGAGATAATATTACCATGATTAGCTCAACTTAGCTACTCTACAATAACTGCAACTTTCAAAGCACCATGTTGTACATGGTAAATATATACAATTCTTGTTAGTTAAAATAATTCAACTCTCCAGGGAGGAGGAAAATGACAAAGTAAACAGTTACATTTTTTGTTAAATAATGATAGGGAGCACATTCTACTGATCAGCATAATGGATTCCTATAGTTATATGACTAAAGATAGTACAGCTAAATTAAAAAATATATAAATACAATCTCTCTTGAAGGTGCATGCAATATGCCTGGATTTTTTTTTCCCACAACATTCACTTGAAGAGAAAGAGCTGGGAATGTAGCTCACTGATAGATTGCTTGCCTACATTAGCAAAGTCCTAGGTTGGAACTCAAGCACGGGGGGGGGGGAATAAAAGACAACACAACACTCTAAAAGTTAAAGGAGCAAGACGAAAGCAGGGCTGCCAGCTGCTCCTCAGCTGATGCGAGGCAAGGCAAGAGTAAGGCCTAAGGAAGTCACCCACCGGGGCTTTTTTTTTTGCACACCGTCCCTCTCCCTCTCTCCAAGGGAACTAAACATTTGCTTTTGTCCAAAGCCAAGGTCCATAGAGCGCTAGTAACAACCAACAAACTTGACACAAAATGACCTTCGCCACACCTGGGTATCTTGGATGCTCGCTAGGGGACAACCAGCGGCCCTTTCACAGCAAGAGGGAGCGGGCGGCAGGGTGTAGGTGCAGGAGGAGAGGGGACCCTAAGCCCACTGTTTGCGCACTGTACTTGCTGCTATCACCTGGGAAACCTGCAAAACCATGAAACCGCAACTCTAGCTCTAAAAGCTCACGAATGCGCCCTCGGGCCCCAAACCCCGAACTTGAACCCCAGGACTAAAGCCGTCCCGTCCCGTCACCACCCTCCCCGCCCGGAAGCCGCCCCCAACCCCCAGACAGGCTCCGGGTCGCGCATGCGCACGAGGGCCCGGCCCGACACGGAGCGCAGGGGAGCGCACGGTACCAGCTTCTCCATGGCCCTGACGGCGGCGCTCCGCGGGACTGGGGCGCGGTGACGATGGCCCAGGGCAGGGTCACCGCTGCTGTCGCCGCCGGCGTCCCCAGCCGCACCGTCTGCAGAGTCCACTCCAGCCGCCTGTCCTCGGCCTCTCCCAGCTGTTTGCGGCTCCCGGCGTTGCCATGGCAACGCAGGATGCTCCGCCTGGACCCAACTCCCTCCTCCCTCCTGCCGCGGCGCCGGAGCGGGTTCGAAGCCCCATGCCATTGCTTTAGCTTTCCGTCAGGTTTCTGTTCGGTCTCTCCGGCATCATCTGTAGCCACATTCAGTTATTTGGATTTGCTTGAACGAGCAATTTTAAGTGTCCCTGGCTTCAGGAGAAAAGAAAATTCCTAACAATTGAGAAGGTTTCCACTTCAGTTCGCCCAGCTTCCTACAGCCTGGAATGGGAGTTACAATCTTCTTGTCGCTTTGTTGTCTGGTACTTTTACTGCTGTCTCATCTTAGTCCTCGATGGGTTTTTTTTTTTTTTTTTTTTTTTTTTTTTAGCAACCCTCCTGCTCGGCCTCCACCACCATGCCTGGCTCACTGGTAATTTTTAAACTGGACAAGATGAAACACGAAACAGTGCCTACCTGTCTGAGCAATACAGGAAGCCCATGGAACTTTGTCTGACAGGACTTCGCAGAGGAACTTGAGTGGGTATTTCCCACCTGCACACTCCTCTCTCGGCCAAACTAGCTTTGTCCAATAGAGACATAATGTGTGGTGTACACGTAAATTTGTATTTTAATAGGAGCTGTATTTTAAAAAGTAAAACAACATGGGCCATGGATTTAACTCAGTGGTTCCGCCGCCTGCCTCACAAGCACAAGGACCCGAGTTCAATCCCTGGTACCCTCCAAAAAAGTAAAGCAACAGGTGAAAATAGTTGTATGACCTAATATATACAAACTATTATTAGTATATGCCATCAATGTAAAATTTTTTCATGAGATAGTTTACACTGTTTTGTCGTACAAAGTTTTCTCACAATATGATGTGTGCTTACAATTACAGCACATCTCAGTTCAGCCCGGACACATTTCAAGTGCTGTATGGCTAGGGGGACTGTGGCTACTGTCTTGGACAGGGCGGGCCTATGAGACCATAAATTCTAGAAAGGGCAACTCCAAATCCTCATAAGAGGGGCCCATTGCATTTGCTCAGAAGGCCTATCAAGCACTTGATTAACTCAAACAATTGTCTTGCTTCTTACCAGGAAGAAACTAAAAAGTTCTTAAGCAGCATAAGCAATCTTCAGAAACTGAGTATTTTAAATGATGTTTTAAACCCTCTGATTCATATGCTATCTGTGTAATTTTGCCTCAAAAGGCCACCTTTGCCATGACCGCCTTTCATGCTTGCAGGAAGAGGATAACTGACCCAGGACTGGGCGTAGCTGAGCTCCCTCCCCATCTGCTGTCAGGGGCTGCACCCTCTTGTCCTGCCTGCCTCCTCAGCATCATCGGAGGTCATATCCTGTAATCACATAAGTAACGTGGCCCCCCAACAGGACTTACTGTTTTGACAGAAATGAAAACTCAGCCCGGTGAGGGAAAGCAGCTGCAGGCTCACACTTTTCTAGCGATCTTTGTGTGGTGAATCATTTTATCTTTGCTGTGAACTTGACCATCATCATTGTGGCCCCGATCATGGAGGAGATGCAGAGACAAGAACTGGCTTGCCCAAGGCTACACAAGCAGAACACAACAAGCTGTGAGTCTGGCATTCTGGCCTCACACATGCCTGACCTCTGTCCTAGGGGGACAGGGAGGATCTTCCAAACTACGGCCTCAGCAGCGTAGGTCTGCCTGATTTCTGAAAGAAAGCAGAGCTACCACTGGCTGAATGCAACCTTGTAGTTCTCTAATCTGTGCCATCTTAAGCAAAGCTGTAAACTAGGCCCTTTTGTCTCAGGTATTCCCCATCTGCTAAAATTCTCTTGCTCTCAGAGAAGCATGTGCCATTGAGGAACACCAAGCTTAAGCAACTCCCTTGGTCCTGGCCTGGTTCCAGAACTTCCTCAGCCGTGTTGGTGCACCACAAGTACTGAGTGACTCCCTACCTTGGGCACCATCCCCATGGGAACTTCTACTGGCTTCCTGAAGAATGTAGATTAATTCTTACAGTGAGAAATTGTTGGGCAGAATGAGGTAGCTTGCTTAGCCACCTCATGCCCTTCCCACAGCTGTACTCTTAAACTTGCCCTTCTGGAGATGGAATCAGGGAGAGGAGAGGCTGGTGGAAAATATCCTTGAGGTGAATGAGCTCTTAGATTCCTTGGGTCTCTCCTACCCTGACCATGGTGGGAAACTGCCCCAACGTTAAGGAATACACAGTCCCACTGCACAAAAATTTCTTTCCCTAAAAGATGTTAAAGTAAACTTCAACTTAAAACCCCTGCTATATGATACTTACTAAATAGATCTTTTAGCAAGATATGCATGCTTGGTACTTCTGCCCAGCACACAATAGGTGCTCAAAAAATAGGACTTGAATGTAAGAAGACTAATGGAATGAAAATAGGATGACTGATTCCTTGCCTATCCACATTATATCATAGACACCAAGACAAATTACATAGAACTGTAAAATTTCAGCTCTGAGAATAACCAATCTAGATGATGATTTCATTTTATAGAAAAGAGTGTCATTTTATGGAAAAGAAAACAGGGACTGACTCACTGGAGACCACATAGCTATTAGCTGACTGAAATAGGACTCAAAATCAAGTCATCTTTTTGTGCTAGTGTTAGTACATTGCAGTACTTAAAAATCACACATTTCTTCTCTCAGTTTAATTTCAGGATCACAGTGCTTTATGATGTTCCATCAACTCTCTGATATTCCATAAAATGTATCGTTTTTATCTGTCATTACAGTGACACAATAGTAACCACTTTCTGTTTTGCAAACAAGAGGGAAAGAAGGAAGGAGAAGGAGGAGAGTAAGAGGAGTGGGAGGCGGAGGGAGGGAAGGAGAGAGAGCAGGAGAGAGATTGACTCACTGTTGGATAGAATTCTATTAACTCTTTACCTCCACAATCTTTAAAGAAAACTCATAAACTTCCATAAACTATGGGCTAGTAATATCAGTTCAGAAATGGACATTAAATTCTCACTATAAAACTTACCAATGGTAGAAGTCCCTCTTGCTTGTGTAACCCATTAGACTTCAGTCTCATTCATCTTTACCTGCCTCTACAAGAGAGATAGGAAAGAGTAAATATTTCCCAGCTTCCTCTGCAGATGTGGGTGGTCATGTGACATAGCTGATGAGTCATAACGGCAGTCTACAAGGGTCTGTGGGAATATTCTTGCTTTCCTAACGAAAGAGATAGACTGCGTTGGGCAACTTCCCCACTCCTAAGACAAAATACCTGACATCCCCAATTTAAAGGTGAAGAGGTTTAGTTTGGTTCATGTTTTCAAAGGTTACAGCCCATGGTCAGCTGTCTCCAAGACACAAACATCATGGCAGAGGGGCATGGCAGAGGAAAACTGTTCCCTTCAAAGTACTTGGAAGCAGAGAGGGCAAGCAAGAGCCAAAGTGACAGATACACCCTCCAAAGGCAAGCAACCAGAAATCCACCTCCTCTAACTGAGCCCTACCCTAACACCACTGATAAGATCCTATTAGTGGATTAATCCACTGATGAGTATAGCGCCACCATGATCCAATCACCTTTGAAAAATCCCTACCTCTGAATACAAGAGACTTTGGGGAAGCATTTTATATCTAAACCATAACACAAACCCAACTATTCCTTTCATGCCTTCGTCCAGCTGGAATGTAGCCATGATACCTGTAAAATGTTACAATCAACCATGCTATGACCATGAAGAAAAAGTCATTTGAATAGCAGAAATGAGAGCCTTGATACTTTTGAACCAACAATAACAGCTACCTCTCTCAAACCCACTTGACCCGAGGAGAATTAAACCTCTGTTTCGCACAATCTTAATTGTGCTCTCTGTTACCTGAAACTGGAAGCGTTCATAAGTGACACAGCAGTTGTCAAGTCTTCTTATTTTCATGAGCACATTTTATTTTACAAATAGTAGAGTTATCAGGTGTATATTTAGAGGCTAGTTCTACCACCCTCCTAACTTCAGAGCAGGAAGGTGGCTCAGGTCAACCAGCGAGTAAAATCTCACACTGGTTTTGTTCATATCCACCTAAGGGCAGATGCTGAGTGGGTGGGTGGCATCTCTCCCACTCTGTGACTACTATTCTGGGTACCCAGAATCCCACTGTCTCTTTTGGAAGCAGGAAAGAGGGCTTATAAATGTCTTTGGGTACTGAAGCAGGTTGGACAAGCTAAGCAAAGCCTCCAGGCACAGGGGGACATCGGCACTGCTGGAAGACAAGCAGATTCCCCCACAGTGAGCCATCCTTGGGATCCTCTTGCCTGGTGAAAATGGGTGGTCCACGCCACCATGGGCACCATCCTCAGCTCCCCACCACCCGCACTTGGCTGCTCAGGCATCTCTTCCCAGTCTCATCCACCTCTGCTTCCATGTTGCCAACAGCCAGGAATGCCATGACTGCCATTCTGGCTTCTATGAAGTAGCAATACCAAGGGACTGGAGAGGACCTTTGCCCTCTTTGATTGACCACCATCCAAATCTCCTTCATATACGTGAAAAATTTCCTACCAGGCAGAGCCTTCCACCCTCTTTAGAAACTAAAAGTGTTCAGCAGTTTTCCACTCATCCTTATGACCCCGACATGACCAGTCAAATGCTCTTGTCTTGGACTTGCACCAGAAACTGGTGACCCAAAGGCATGGGACAGTAGACAATACATTCTGGAAGCTGGTGGCAGTAGCAACGGCGGCATTGAATTTGCAAGGGCTATTGTAGCAGCAGTGGCCTCCTAATTTGTGTCAGAGCAGTAACAATCAGTCAGAGCAGTAATAATGCCCTGAACAGACCATTGGCTTTGTGGCAGGACGTCTGACTACGTCCCTAGCCACAGGTGTCCTCAGTCACTTTCTTAGCCTTACTGTCCAATTTTGTCAGCTATTCTGAGCTGCCTAAAATCCTTATCTTTTTTTTTTTTCATTACTGAGGATGGAACCCAGGACCCTCACACTGAGTTGCACCCACAGCCCTTTTTTATTTTTTGAGACAGGGTCTCATTATGTGATTAATCTAAAGCCCAGGACAGGCCTGAACTTGCAAGCCTCCTGCTATAATGCTGCAAGGACACCCATGCACTGCCACATTTAGCTTCCTTATCCAATTAATACAACCTTTTTTGATTTTGTTATGGTTTTTGTTTGTTGTTGCAGTGGTTTCAGTCTGTGATGGTCACTCACTGTTGCTTGCAACTAAGAATCCTGATAGACACAGCCACATATTTGATGCTACCCCATCTTTTAAGTCTGTAACCAACACTGACATATGGCTGTTGTATGTCTAATGAACCTTATACAAGTCTAGGAATGCTAGTGAATGGAAGGA